GACATACTGAACTGCTCCAGGAATGTCTCTGTCAATTAGTATTTTGTGAAGGCACTCATTTACTAGATTCTTTACCAGTAAACAGTTATCTCTCCGAACTGTTTCAATGCCTGAACAAGATAGATCATGAAGATGGGAGATAAAATGAAAAAAACAAAACAAATTGAGAAGAGCTGAGGAGACCCAATATTTACCTTTAGTATCCATCTTGTCAAACTTTTGTGGATTTGTCCAAAACAGACCAGCATATCTTTTCTTGCTAATCAACAGATATGGATAGTAAACCTTCTCAAACTCTAGTTTGATGGGCTTCATAATGTAAATACCCCAATTAACAGAAGTAGATAGAACAACCAACAATAGTTGACTAATTAATTATAAATATTTTTCGTTACATTAGGCTCACAAATATAGTTTTAAGCTAGTAATTCATAAACAAAATACAGCATTTTGCATCTCAAAAAAGAGGTTTGAGGACATTTAATGCTCCCCACCCTCTCCCACCCCAGTTGTAAACAACTAAATGCTTTTGATTCTTTGTTCCTCTCTCTCTCTCTCTCTCTCTCTCTCTCTCTCTCCATGCATGTGTGCATGTGTGCTTGCTTGTGTGCTTTGAGGCTTCATTATAAACCTTCTTTGTTTTCAAGTGCGTTAAAAAGAAAACACGTACTTTAGTGAAAGTCCCACTTATGTATTCAGCAGCTTCTCTCCCCAAATTCATTGCTGCTTCTACATTAGGTACACCAAATTGTACCATAACTGAATCAGTGTCCCCATATATGACCTGATAAAGACATTTCCAGTCCATGTTTTACAATAATATTTAGCAAGCTTATCAAAACCTTATCGAACAAATAAATCAAAGATGTATATATTATAAGAAAAAGGTATATCCATATGAATCAACAGTAGGAATAAACACAATTATAGTATGACATGCTTAAAAAAAGGTAGAAACATCAAAATGCATATTGAACAGAATGGTCCACATCATACTCCAAAAGCAAGATTCAAATATTTAAATCGATTGAAGAATTTCTTAAATTAAGAATTGATGATGAAGCAATGAATGAAACCTCAATTGCCTGTCTGGAAAGGAAAATAAAAAACAAAAAGATAAAATATGCAACTAGCATCTGTCAGCAAAGAATATAACCCTACTTTTATTCGACTCTTTTTATAGGAACATAAGTACAGAAAGGGGGACTAGATATCCTCACAAAAGAAAAGGAAGGAGAACCAGCAAATCTCAATAAAGAATAGCTGGTCAATCGTTTTTCAAAATAGATGAAGACGGTCTTTGAAATGCCCATGCATCTTAGCCCACAGAAATGCCAAAAAGGACAACCTATCCCAACAAAGAAAAAACTAATCTCTAAAAATTGCTAGCATTCTCTCCAACCAAATCGTACCAACCTAGCAAAAAGAGTCCTGTGCAACAAAGACTTGACCTCCTTCCTCCTAGTGATATCACAGACGGCAGAGGAAAGGAATGGCTCAATTTTTATTTGGCTTATAAGCTTCATATAAACAATTCATTTGGTAAAGGAGCAATTATAAATTGAAAGTTTGATAAAATGATTAAAACTAACACATAAACAAGAATTTTCTTATTTCTAATATGGACATGTTAGTAAAAAATTACAAAAGACAACACTTTGTTACATGGATTACAAGCTAAAAAATATATAAGTAATTGGATTTTAGCCAAAACACATCAAAAAATAAATAAATAAATAAATCAAACCAAACACTACTTAAGTGAACTAGAATAGCAGCCTACTTAGTCTACCAACTATCAATAAATTATAAAACATATAGTGAAACAGCTCCAGATGACATACCTCGGCATTGTGTTCATACCCCCCTAGTGTCGTAAATTTCTTCTCCACAAGTTTTTGGGTGTTTTCAATCATCTGTCGACCTTTACAAATAGATCAACATGTCAACTAAAAAGAGCTTAATGTACCTATAACTTGCCCATGCCCATAAACTCAAGCTCATAAATACCAATAATAACTGCAATAAATATTTTTTCAAGATACCATAGCTTGTAACGCTTGAGAGATTTCTATGCACGGCAACTGGGCCAACAGTAGCTCCGGTAAAACCAATAGACAGAATTTGCACTTATCTAAACCACAAATAAACATCAATCCATCACCAAGGAGAGGTTATTTCTACATGTTAGAAAGATTATGAAAGAATAGTCAAAGTATCACCTTCAAGGCCAGCTGTCTACCATCTAGAACAGCCTTCTCAAGTGGATCCTTTGCTTCCTAAAATTAAATATACTTTATAGTTATAGAGAACTAGAATCAACAAAGGAAGCTAAAGAATATCACATTGTCATCAGCAAAATACAAATATTAAAACAGCATCCAGAAGACCACCTGGGGAAAACAAATTAAGAGGGTGTTTGGAATTGCTTATCTAGTGCTTTTATATGCAAGTTTAAGCACTTCTATTCCACCGCTCACAGTTTGTAACATAAAAAACAAAGTGCTCATTAGGTTCTTAGAAATTATTTTAGAAAAATAGAGAGTAAGCACCATAATCCTAAATTTTAAATTCTTATTTTTTTTCACCTGACTAATTTACTTACATTGCTCTCTTGATATCTTTTTAAAACCAACAATTTTTGTTCTTATTTTTGTTAACTAATTTACATAAAAATGACTTAACAATATATACATAAAAACAAAATGCAAGGAATAAAATAGTTGTATATATTTTCTTATTCTTTTAAATAAAAAAAAAAAGAAAAAAAAAACTATTTATTTCTTGCAATCAGCTCTTTATTCAAACACATAACTACTTATTTTTTTAAATAAAAATTTACCTCTTTTAACTAACTTAAAGGATTCTACTGCTTTAAGCTAATTTTCTTTTGCAATCCCAAGCACACACTAAATTACCTTCAAATCTGCTTTTGCTCGTTTACGAGCAGATAATAGTTCTTCAAGAATTTCTGGAAGAATTCCCTGAAATTCATTGTAACAAATTCTCAGTAATTTGAAAATTATGATCTTGATAACAAAAAAAAGGAGCTTCAAACCATAACAAAAGAAAAAACAAGGTTATCACCCTATAAAAGGCAACATAACCTTCTGCAAGTTTGATTTAACAAATGTTTCACCAGATGGAGTTTTGTTGACAGACTCGGGAGGCAGATTGAGTTTTCGAACATCTTCGGATGTCACCTTTATTATATTGCAGGTAAGAATACACCAAAAACTCAGAAACAGAACCAAGTATAATGCTTAAATACTATACTTCAGTTGTACAAAGCAGAAAATGGAAACAATTATTCAAACAATTACCAGAGTGCAGTAGCATAAATTATATGCCATCATAATTGAGGGATACAAAGATGCAAAATCTAATGTTGCAATTGGCTTTTCATAGAAACCGGCCCTTGCTTCCAAAACCTGAACTTATAATTATCCATGTGTAAAAAAAAAATCTTCGACAGTTCATATTCATGTTAAAAGCATGTCACAGTAGCAACAGAGTAAATGGCGGCAGAGGGGCAGTGAAGGAGGACAGTTTGGAGTAAACCGCAAACTTACAGTTGCACCTTCATATGTTCCCTGTTCAGATCCTGCTTGTTTGACATTTGGAATAACCATGTCCTTTTGTTTAGCCTTCCTAAGAAGTTGAGAGAGAACCTACAGAGAAGGGGTTCAAAATCCAGATATCGATTATCTAAGAACTTGGCAATCATCAACAACTAATCAATGAACACAAACAAACCTTGATGCTTTGCCCTCTCGAAAGAAGAAAAGAGATTGGGACACCTGTGACACGGGCCATTTCCACATAATTGTAAATGAACATAAGCTTGTCCAAAAGCCTCTGCGGAAGATAAGCATCCTGCAATCCAGAAGAGAGAAAATGTTGATTGAGTTTTATCATTTGCACAAAATGGGGCTAGAACACTCTTCATTTCAAGTAATGCATAGTGCATCCATCCTCAATAAACATAGCAAAAACTTATGTTACTATAAGAGGCCCGCACAAGCTTTTGGAGACAGAATTCAGTTGACAGAAGAAATCTTCAAAAATGATTTTTGTTTTTCCAAAATAGAGATCCGTTTCTCTTATTTTCCATAAACCACAATGTGTGCATATGATTCATAACAAGAAAAATGACCAAATACTACCAGCAAAAATAAAATCAAGAGCTCAGATTTACTAGCGTGACATTCAGGTTTGAAACAGAGAAGGAATGTTACTGTATTTGTCGAGTAAATTCCCTCATGCAAAGAAACAAACCTAACCAAATTTAAGAATAAAATAACAGTGAAGTAAAAAGTAGCTGGCAGAGACAATGTTCTGAATGGAATGGGCCTGGAATTGGCCTGTCAACCAAAATAGGCTGGAATGTGTTGCCTCATGAATGTATTAAATCATGTTTTACTGAGTTCTCTTTTCTTTCTAAAATTATACAAAAATTTGTGAGATATACAAATAGTAGCCTCCTCTAACTTTCAAGTAGGACATAGTTCCGATGGGTAAGATATGCAGCAGATGCTTAGACTTTATCCTACAAGTTGAAGGAAGCCCATTAGGTCACAAGATGAACTCACTACATAAGACTATGAAGACAAAGCACACCACTGTCCCATGATTGAATCATCAGCAGATGGTTATTTCAAGTGAAGGTATCTGATACTTTATTCAAAATATAATTACATTTTGTAGAAAAAGAGTTCTTCTAGAAAAGAAAGACGAATACAACCTACAAGACGATAAGCTTCCTCTAAAAAGGCAAAAAGGAAAAGACATACAAAAAACAAAGATTACATTATTGATCATACTGACTATATAGTGGATGAAACGCTATGGCCTCAGTTAAACACAAGATAGAATGATAGTGAGGATTGCATGACCAGAGTAACATGCAATAGCAATAATTTTTTATTTAAATAATCAATAGAAATATTATTTTATTACAGGTGAAAAAACTTACCTGAAACATTCAAGTACTAAATATGAAAAGGCAGAAACTATAAGATTTCTAATATCTTACATGTTGCTTGGATTAACCTTGCATCTACATCAGTGCTATCAATGCAACATGGCATTAAGAAGAGAAGGTAAAATAACAATTATGATGAGATTTAACAAAGACCAATCCAATGAATGGGAATGAAGAGCAATCCGAGTAACTTGAAACCAAAATTTGCACCTTCAAACAATACACAGCAAGCCGTCTCCTGGTTTCTGCATTCCCATTCTGAAGATCAGATATTATTGAATGGTGAACATCCTCTTTCTGCAAATGACAAAATGGTGTCAGCAATGCAATATCTATCATGACATTACTTCAATTGGAAAAAGAAATGGGCAAAAGGGAATAAATAGAAGTGAAACGGACCAAGAGAGCAGAAGCCGAATTTTTAAGAGATTATTAACTTGTTCGAACATTGAATGCACAATAAAATGGACAATTACCTGCTCAGAAAGAAAGTGTGCTGCAACAGAATTCAAAGAATAAGAACTTAATTTATGATCTCTTTGCATTATCTGCAACATACAAAAGACATGTAATCAGATATTTCTCATAAAATATGGGCAAACTAGCATCTGATCGTCCAAATACCAGCTCAATCAAGTCAAAACACCCAATGGACAAAACCTGAAGCAAATCAAATTGAACTCTCCCTTCCACTGAAACTTCTTTACTTTCCCTTGTCCCATATGTCTGTCTCACAGCAGCATAAAAAAAGTCAAATATATT